CCTCAATCTATGGAATGTGGCCCATGGATCAGAGCTGGCTCACCACGTGCTTCTGACCAGGCCAGGAGGAAATACAGAAACTGAGCAGAAGCGTTCAGGAACATTCACTGCAGTTTGACATTCACGCCATTTTTGCTGTATTTTACAAAAGTATTGAGTACGATAGATTAGAAATTTAAATATCTGATCCTTCACCGCAGAGAAGCCTGTCAGAGCGTGCACATCTGGTCATGCATGAAGCCATTCGAACAAACGAATGTTATAAAAACAATAGGTTTTGGGGGCGCCTGGGTGGCGCAGTCAGTTAAGCGTCCGACTTCAGCCGGGTCACGATCTCGCGGTCCGGGAGTTCGAGCCCCGCGTCAGGCTCTGGGCTGATGGCTCAGAGCCTGGAGCCTGTTTCCGATTCTGTGTCTCCCTCTCTCTCTGCCCCTCCCCCGTTCATGCTCTGTCTCTCTCTGTCCCAAAAATAAATAAACGTTGAAAAAAAAAAAAACAATATGTTTTGGACGTGCATATATAATCATTTGAATGTGTGCTTAAATCAGATCTATTCAAACCTTCCTAACTCATCCTTGTGGTTCTTGCCAGAGTCCCGTTGCTTATTGCTCGGCGATAGTGTTTATTTGTTTAACTTTCCACGGGTTGGTGAAAACAGCATTCTATTTTCTATAGTCACGGGGAAAAATCCCGATTCCTTAGCAGGCAAGGCACCTTCTCACCATTCTCTTCCATACTCTGCCTGGTCCAGGACACTTACGCTGCCCGAAATGCCTCTTCCTGGTCTTTGTCTGTGAGCTCTATCTTCAGTCTTTGAGGCTCAACTCAAGCAACATCTCCTTGGAGCCTCCCTCCAACCCTCTGCCCAGCTTGGGTCATTTCATCTTGGATGCTCTCAGCACACACTGCACAGGCCTGGCTCACGGTGCCCCCTGGCACGGATTACATATCTCTTCCCTGTTCCACATCCTCTGCCGCCCTGTGCACCTGGCCTGAGACCCCTTCCTGCTTCCAGAATCGGACCAAAGGTCATCTCCTCCAGGAAACCTTTCCACACCGCAAATTAACAGCTTCTTTCATTCATTCATTCAACACAAATGTGTTGAGCGCCTGGTATGCGCAAGATCTTGTGTTCGATTCTGGAGAAAGGTCCGTCACCGACAGGACAAAGACCCCACATTCTAGAGGGAAGAGATATTAGAAAATGAAGCAAACAATAAATACAATCATCGCAGGTAGTGGGACGTTCTGTGAAGGGAGGAAAGCAGGGTGCCATGATGGAGCGTTGATGGGGGTGAGGAGGACTGCTCAGGGAGAAGTCACAGGGAGTTGGACGCGTGGGCCTGAAGGGTGAGAAGAAACCAGCTATTGTAAGGACAGGGACAAGTGTGTTGCAGACAGAGGGAAGAGCAAGGGCGAAGGCTGTTGGTGGGGAACACATTCGCTGTGTTGCAGGGACATCCAGAGGCTGTGAGTCTGGGGCAGAGAGCAAGGAGGGGAGTAGGAGGAGGTGAAGTCAGAGAGGGAGGCAGGGGCCGGACCTCTAGGGCTCTCTCGGCCACGGCAAGATTCGAGTTTAAATGCAGTGGGAATCCCTTTCCACGCTACCCAGGGAGGAGTCCATTCGGCGTTGATCTGCATTCAGGTTGTAACTTCAGGGAAACTTTCACCATCTCCGGAGCTCTTGATGTCCTGAAAATAAAGGAGGATGCTCTGAAATCTCTTGCAGCAGGAACCCACTTGGGTGGCACGGGCCTTGGCTTTCAAATGGAACGGTACATCTACAGAAGGAAAAGTGAAGCTTGGGAGAAGCTGCTGCTGGCAGCTCCTGCCATTGTTGCCATTGAAAACCCAGCTGATGTCAGTATCAGGTCATCTGGGAATACTGGCCAGCGAGCTGGGCTGAAGTCTCCTGCTGCTGCTGGAGCCACTCCTATTGCCGGCCGCTTTGCTCCTGGAAACTTCACTAACCAGACCCGGGCAGCGTCCTGGGAGCCGAGACTTCGGTGTGGTCGTTCAGCCCAGGGCTGACCACCAGCCTCTCACAGAGGTGTCTTATGTTAACCTACCTACACACTGCTCTGTGTGACACAGACTCTCCTCTGTGCTACGTGGGCGTCGCCATCCCTTGCAACCAGGGAGCTCACTCGGTGGGTCTGGTGGGGTGGGTGCTGTCCTGGGGAGCTCCCCGCATGCGTAGCACCATTTCTGGTGAACCCATAAGGAAGGTCGTGCCCCCTCTCTGAAGAGATCCTGAAGGGGCTGAAAAGGAAGAGCAGGCCACTGCCAAAAAGGCCGTGATCATGGAGGGACTTCAGGGTGAATGGACTGCTTCCGCTGCTGAGTTCACTGCTACTCAACCTGAAGTCAGGCTGGTCTGAAGGCGTGCAGGTGCCCTTTGTGCCCACCCAGCAGTTCCCTCCTAAAGACTGGTCCGCAGCTTCCACTGTTCAGGCCACCGAATGGGTAGGAACAACCACCGAGTGGTCCTAAGCTGCTCTTTCACAAGGGCAAACGAAATGGAAATTAGGTTGATGGAAAACAAAGGTCTCTAAAAAAATTAAAACATAAAAGAAATTAAATGCGGTGGGAATCCACTAGAAGGTTTAAACAAAGGAGAGATGCAATCGGGTTTATCTCTTTCAAAGAACATTCTGGCTGGTGTGTCAGGGGGCAATGCTGAAGTACCACTTAGGAGGCAGCGACCGTGGTCCGGGTGAGAGATGATGGTGGCCTGGGCTGGGATAGCAGTGCTGGCAATGAGGACAGGAGGGAGGATTCAGGCTATGTTCTGGAAGCTGGGCTGACTGCTGGAATGAGTGATGTTTTGGGAGTTCTACTGGATGTAATACTGCAAAGCTCGGGACACCCGGATGGCTCAGTGGGTTGAGCGTCCGACTCTTGATTTCAGCTCAGGTCATGGTTCATGAGTTGGAGCTCCACACTGGGCTCTGCACTGACAGCATGGAGCCTGCTAGGGACTCTCTCCCTCTCTCTCTGTCTGCCCCTCTCCTGCGTGCTCTCTCTCTCTCTCTCTCAAAAATAAATAAACTTAAAAAAAAAACTACTACAAAACATAATTGTAGGAATATTGGAGTTCTCTTCAGCTCTGAGTCTGGGCTTTACTAAAAGCCTTAAACAGAAAACATCCTAACTGCAAAAATGTCCACTGGGAAAACAATGCAAATGTGATTATGTGCTAGCTGGAACGTAGGTGTTGGCATGTGAGTCTACAGGCATTTTCTGATCCAACATTGCCGTTATATCAGAGAAACAAAACAAAACATTAGCAGATAAGTGTCCAAGTTGTAAGTCCAAGAAGCAGCCCTGAGCCTCACCCCAGAGACTGTCCTCTTGGCTGACAATGAATCAATCAGATGCTTTGTTTGAGCCCCATAATTCTATCCTAATATTAACCAAGGAAAGGTGTCCAGAAGACAGAGTGACAGGTCTCTGGGCAAGGAAGTATGTGACAGCCAAGGATTTGCTTTGCTGTTCGGTCCTTTGTTTTTGTCAGTGTTCCAGAGCTCCCTAGGAATCTGGGGGAATCAAGATTTGAGTCAGCAGGACTCCAGAGTCTATGCAATAAACCTCAGGGACCAAATCAGTCGTGATTGTGCTCATTAACATGATGGATCCAGACACTGATAAGCAGGTGGGTGGCAGGGAATGTGGGTACTAATCACATTTCACTCTCCTGTGCTTGAGTATATGCTCAGGGAGTAATCTGATCACAGCAATAGTAATCGCTTCAAAATGTATGGGCCATCCCAACAGATCAAACTTAACTTTTCAAATTGGGGCAGAAAAAAAAAAAAAAAAGAGGCTTAGCTGATGATGTCTATAATGGACAGTATGACAAATGCCCATTTTTCTATCTTAAAATGATGTTTAAAAAAGACTTCTTTCATCAAAATTCATCAGCATGGTATTCACTGCAGAGGACGTTTTTGGAATACTGATGCATGCCGGCGAGCATATATTTTACACCTGCTGGGAGCTAGGTCTGGGGGTGGGGTAGGGAATGGAGAGATGAGTAGGATGCGGGAAGTGCCTGGAAAAGGTCAGTTGTTGGACTGCTGGACCACTGGGTGAGGTCAATCTGGAGAAAATGGTAGGTGAGGTCAAACCTTGGATAATTGTTGTAAACAAAGGAAATGGAGAAGGAAGCCAACACTATGTCTGATCTACGTCCGTAAACAACACTCACTTTGGGGCCAAATAGACTATGTTAGGAATCCCACCTATCCCGCCCACCAATGTTTGCACCTTGGGCAAGTCAGCCTAAACTCTCCAAGCCTCAGTTTGCCCATCCTTGAAATGGGGGAAATCATTATCTCCACAGTCTTAGTGAGAAATAAATGAGATGAAGTATACTCAGTGTCTACAGACCTAGCACATAGTTGGTGCTCAGCACATGGCAGAAAATGATAATATAGTATCTCCCCTTATCCACAGGGGATGTGTTTCAAGACCCCCCAGTGGATGCCCGAAACCATGGATAGTATTGAACCCTCTATATACCCTGTTTTTTCCTATACATAGATATATACCTATGATGCAGTTTAATTTATAAATTAGACACAGTAAGAGATTAACATTAATACTAAACTAGAACAATGATAACAACACACAGATAAAGGAGACTAGGGCATAGATTCTTAGTGATTATTTTGCTCTACTAGAATTTCTTTTCTCTTTCTGATGAAAAGTCACTATATTTGGGGGTATCTCTGACTCTTCAGGCAAAAACAAGGCTTGGATGTATCTGTAAATATACTAGACAACTACTCACATACCCATGCAATGTGATGGGTGGTAGCTAATTAGCTGAGCTACTGGGCCTGGGAGTGAATCACTATATTCTAAATAAATGGGACCAAATCAGATTAGGTATCAGGGCATGGTACCCTGGAGAATTAGGGTAGGTCTGCCTTGTAGGGGACCTTAGAAACCACCGAATTCAGCCTAATAGTAAAGTAGAGGAGACTGAAACCAAAGAGGTTGAGTAACTGTTCAGAGACTCTTAAGAGGCAGAGCTGAGGGGGCAACCCACCGGTCCATGGATTCCATTGTTCTCTCCTTTCCTGTTCCTTGTTTCCTGGAGGCTGTGAAGGCAGATGGCAGTGAATGATTCCGAAACACTGAGCTTACAAAGTCGGAGAAGAACTGAGTTTCTGAGCTCGACTCCTCTGCTTAACTGGGGGAAACCACCACTCATATTCCACTTGAAAACGATTCTGTAGGTCCCACTTTGGGACCTGAGGGGGAACGAAGGAAGCACGGTCATCAATCCGTGGTTCAACGTGCGAGCTTCAATGATGGATCCTAATTGGCTGGTTAGTTGGTTGACGGAACTCTCTCTCAAAGGTGGCTCTTATGAAATGAGGTTCAGATGCCAGAAATCTCTTGGTATAATTTGGAGAAAGAAATTAGAATCACAGGCATAGAAAAATGTTGGAGTACAATTATTACATAAAAATTATTCCCTAAACGTATTTTCCGAGAGAATCAAAAAGAAACTCCTCTCGCCAAAGCTTGTGTAGTGCAGAAAGAATCAGTATCGCTGAAAAGTGGTCCAGTTGGGATTTGTGAAGACCGGGGATGATGCAGAAGGCACTGTAGCTGGTGGCCCTGTGTGCGTTGAGGATTTGGGAGGAGTGGTCACATAGCTGCCTTCAGCCCCCACAGGCAGTGGCTGGGCCATCAGCAGCTTGGCGAGGGGCTGCCCTAGTGGTCTGACCTTTGATGCACAGGGTGTCTAACCTGGCTGTGCCTCAGTTTCTTCTTTTGTAAAACAAAGCCACATCTCTCAAATTTTGCTGGGAGATGATATATGTAAAGTACTCACCATGGCGCTTGGCTCATAACAACTTCTAGATAAATGGTAGCTATTATTAGCTGTCATTACGGGATTCTAGGGGTTCTCTCTCCTAACAGTAAGTTAGGAGATAAGGGGAGGCTTATTTTTGCTTCCCCTTCAGTCCCTCCCATCCCCTCTCCTCCTCTCCTCCTCTGCCTCCCTTTCCACTTTTAAGGATCCTTGTGAGTACATTGGGCCCACCCAGATTACTTGGATAATCTCCTGCTTTTAAAGCCATGAGATTTTACGTTCACCCCACCAGCAGCAATCTGAATCCCCTGTTTCCAGGGGACCTAACATTGTCATAGATTCTGGGGGTCGGGGGGGGGTGGATGTGGTGAGGGGGCATTATTTTGTTTGCCGTGCGCACCGATGAGGTGCACTGCTTTAGGCAAATCTCTTAACTCTTTAATTCTCATTTCTCCCACCCGTCCTGCTGCAAGGATTAAATGAGACAAACGCGCCTCAGGCCCTTAGCACAGCGTCTAGCACATATAAGTGCTCAGCCTGTAGTGTTCTCTTTCCTTTGTCAAAAAGAAACACATACACCCTGGAGTTCTGTAGAACTCCGGAGCCTGTATCGTATCCTGAACAACAGTGCCCTAAAATGCTTCTTATGGCTACGTCCTGGCCTGCTTTTTTTTTTTTTTTTCTTTTTAAGTGGGCTCTACCCCCAGTGTGGGGCTTGAACTCACAACCCCTAGATCAAGAGTTGCGTGTTCTACCGACTGAGCCGGCCAGGCACCCCCGACCCGGCATTCACAATGGAGGGGCAGCAAAGGCCGAGAGCCTGCCTGGTGTCTGGTCACATGCTCCTTCCCTGCTCTCTGGGCACCCCAGGCACACCACCGTCGAGGTTTTTGGCGCTTGGCAGTGATTGACCAGGGAAGGAAGTACTCTCTCGGTGTCCCCAGGGGGACAGATGAATCATTGAGTGTGGGCCTGGCAAACAGTTCATTCTTCTATGAATGGTGACAGATATTCAAAAGGAAATGGCGTTCAGTGCCCAGCGACTTGCCTTGGACACAAAGAAAACTACCAGAGAGAGATATTCATTGTTCTGGGTGCCCTCACATTCCTGATGTCCCTTGAGCTGGGACATGGGGAGGGAGGCCACTCTCAGTAGGCGGCTGGGGAAATTGAGGACTGAGGGTAGGTGACTTGACCACGGTGCCACAGCTTACCCGGGTCTGGCATTCTGACTTCCACCCCTGGGGCCTCTCCCCCTGTGCCCAGCCTTGCCATATGTAGCCTTCCCCCAGCCACTGAACAGCTAAGGATGTCACTTACATGACACCCCTTCTCCACTTTGCCTCCTCCTCTGTCCTGACCTCCAAGCAGAGGAGGTTGTTGCCACAGAGCGGCCCTGACCGTGAACCTGGGTAGCATCCCTTCCTCCCTAGCCTGGCGCTTGCCCGCACTCCATTTGGTACTTAGTACTTACTCTCCTACTGGTGGCTGTCCCCGGTTCGATTCTGCTCTCTCCTAATTCCTTGGAGAACCGAATTCTTGCAAAGAGGAGAGAGAAGTAGGCAACCCTCCGTTTCATTGGTTCTCACCTGGGGCAGGATCCTCCCCTGTTCCCAGAAACCCTGTGAAAGTCGTGGGGGGTGGGTTTGGGGTATTACATTGGCTTGAGGGGGTCTCTGGCATTCTGTGTGTGTGGGGGGGTGCTGATTGTCCTGCAAGGCGCCTGCAGTTCGATCACCACATGACAGCAAAGAACCATCTCAAACAATGCCAATAGTGCCCTCCTGAGCCACCCAGCTCTAATTGGACACTCAGCTCTTATTTGGACTGTTAGAACTCCCTTATTTGATGATGATGTGATTTAGAACTCTTCCTCGGGTGACCAAAGCTGTTAAAGTTAAGAAGAGCCTCTTTTCCCATGAAAATGAAATGACCGATTCCACAGCTCGTTACTGGGTAGCATAGGGGGGACAGAGAAATGGGGTGACAATGGCCGTCAGGAGCGCTGGTTCTGAAGCTGCCTGGTCTATACTGTGGCTTTGCCGTTTACTAGCTTTATGATCTTGGCAGCTCAGTCTCTCTGTGCCTCAGCCCTTACTTTTTGTTAAATTAGAGACAAATATAGCTACCCCGTTTTGCTATGCCTGGCCCAAAGTAAGAGTTATTAAATCACTGCCATGTGTGACCTGGGGCAGGATATTGCTCAGCTCTGTGTCTGTCTCTTCTCATGTGAATAGGGATAATAATGCCTACTTCAAAGTGTTTTTGTAAGATCCAAGGAGAAAACACACAAACAGGGCCAACTATAACACAGATCATGCTCATAACAACCTCGTGAAGGTGTTACCCCATTTTACAGGTAAGGAAACTGAGGCTTCAATAGAGGTTAAGTAACTCGGCCACAGGTACACCGCTATCTGGGATTTGAGCCGAGGCTGCCCGGTTCTAGATTCACTGTGTCCAACCACCATAACCATTGGCTGCTTTTCTCTAAGCAGCAGCCAGAGCGATGCGTAGTAGCTTGCGAGCATCCCTGGCTGGCAAAGAGACAATTCTGACCTTTAGCTGTGCCCCCCAGGCAGCCAGACGCGGGATTCCCAGCTCTCTTCCCGGAGCAACAATGCTTTGCGAGAGAATGGCTGGGAATTCAGAAACCTGGAGTCTGGTTCTCGCTCTGTTGTTTCCCTGGCCTCCGTGGGCAGGTCGGGCAACCACACAGGGCCTTTGTTTCCCTCAGGAGAAGGAGGCAAGCAAGGGTGCAGAGATGTTCCTGTGATAATGGGAAGCTGGAGAAGGGGTGTGCCTCGGGGTCCGACTGTCTCTGTTAGCAGGAACATCCCCCTGGGATGTCGTCATAATGTGACTCGCAGCAGAGCCAGTTTGGGGCTAAACCCTGGTTTCTCCTTGGACCGTGCACAGATAGGAGTGGGCTCCTGAAACCACAAAGGGAATCAGTGTGATACAGGGGCACCCTCGCGAGGACCGGGCCGCAGAGGATAAGTATTTAAAAAGGCTAGTGGAAAGCACTACCGTGGAAGTGCAGGGAAGCTCACACTCCTGGTCTTCCTCTGGCCCCACATCAACCGTGATGAAGAGTGTTGTGGGGCTGGTGGTGGTAAGGGACACTGGCGATCGGATTAAGGCAGCGTGGCCAAGACTCAGAGTCAGACAGATGTGGGGCTAGGTCCCAACTCTGACACTTAGGAAGGGCTGAATGCCCTCCAATGAGATGTCTAACTCACTGTGCCTCAGTTTCTTCTTTTGTAAAATAAAGCCATATCCCTCAAAATTTGCTGAAAGATGGTACGTGTAAAGTGCTCCCCACAGTGTGTGGCTCGTGACCACATCCAGGTAAATGGTAGCTGTTATTGGCTTATTGGTTGTAATTATAGGATTATAATGGCTGAACAGTAAGGAGATTAAGGGGAGGCTTATTCTTCCTTTCACCTCAGTCCCTCCCACGTACAGGTTTTATGTTATCATTTTAAGCCCGCAAGCACGCCCCGGGCCACAGTGACCTATCTTCCAGTATCAGGGATGGCCCAGTCCTGAGGCCAGACCGTTTCACACCTGCCTCAGGGGCCCAGGACCAGAGGGGAGGTTTCCCCCTTGGAGTGGAGTTGGGTGGAGGGAGGGAAGGGGGAATTTCCCGTGCTCTGGAAGGTCAGATTGTTCAGCGGGGGAAGTGATTCTCAAACTTCAGCAGGCATCAGAGCCACCTGGAAGGCTGGGTCAAACACAGCCCGCTGGGCCCTACTGCGGCATCGCTGATTCAGGAGGTCTGGGGTGGAGGCAGAGAATGCATTTCTACCAAGCTCCTGGGCTGGGGCTTCTCCCTACGCAATGTGGACCCTTGTAAGAACGGAAGCATATTAAATTAACACTTATCGATGTGGTGGGATGGCAAAAAATGTCCATGCTACTGATTGGAGGGTTACACTTGGAGAATTGCTGAGTTAGAGCAGTTGAGGTGGGGGCAGATCTGGATTTCTCTTTCTTGGAGACAGTGGTTTGTTTTCTCTGAGTCACCTGAAGAGTCTCCGTGGGTTCTTCTAGTAACTACCACCGTCGAGTAGCCAAGATTGGGAATGGGGTCTGACACTGCGCTCAAATACACACTTTGAAGAATGGACCACTTCTGTTTTCATGGTGGCTGTTGCCAGGTTGGGATGACCTGATGCTGAGGTCTGGACAACCTGGTGACTTGGCCAGGTGCACTGCTCCCTCAGATCTGCACACTGCCTGTTGTCCCCAGCACATGGCATGCGATGGCACTTGTCAGCTTAGCGTCAGATGTCAGTGTTGTTCTGATGTTCCATTCCTGTCACCTCCTGTCCCAGGCTCAACCACCTGACAGAGCTGGGCACTTCTGGATATCTTCAGTAGAGATAACTCTGACTGTCCCGCATCACCTCCCCACCCCATCCCTCTGGCTGGTGTGCCAGTCAGCGTGAGAGGACGGCAGTGTTTTTCCATATACCTCTCCGGCTGCCTTATTGTAGGTACTAAGCCATTTCAGCAATAGAGATTCATTTCATGAGAGCGCGATGTGACATCCAAGTAAACGTCAGGCACAAGGGAAGATTTCCATCATGTGGAGCAGAATTGTAACCCTTCACACTTATAGCAGACCCTCGGCTCTGGAGCTCTGCACGCAGCTCTGCCAACAGCCAGCACAGTAGGGCTCTGCCTCTGGCGGTTTCTGCAGAATCGCAGATAAGCTGTTCCGATTTTTCTTCCGGCACTGCGGAGAAATGACAAAAATCCAGGGCCAGAGTGCACAGACTAAATAGAACTGGCAAAGATCTGAGAGCTCACAGAGCCAGAGGGTGGCAAATAAGTTTTATTTTGTATAAATTGCTACTGATTGCGTGACTCAATTCGAGCTCTGGGAGAAATGGAGCCTTGATCATATAGTCGTATCTGCCTTGGGCAGAGGATGGGAGGGTGGCCACTGGTGGCTCATATATTGCCATCACTGATCCCGCTCAATTCTGTTTATGGAACAGGAAACTCAGTCCCAATAAAATGAAAAGAACTTTCCCAGTTCACGTAACTTGTTAGCGGTAGATTCAAAAAGAGGAGCCAGGTTTTTTGACAGTAGTTCAAATACATGTCCATTCTCATAGGAAGAGAGACTTTGGAAATAAGTAAGCCTGAGTTCAAATCCCCAACCCGTCATTTATCAGCTGTGTGACCCTGGGCTGTCAGTTAAAGTCTCTGTGCTTCAGTTTCCTCCTTTGGAAATGGAATAAAAACACCCACGTCCTTATTGGGAGAGTTAAATGTGACAACAGTACGCATTTACAACGGTAACTTGAATGTGTAGTTCAAGGCCTTATGCATAAATGTTTAATTTCTCTCCTTTTTCCAACAGAAAATGATATGCATTATTAGGATGACATCTTTGGGGGCAGTTTGCACACCACAGCAGTTATTTAATTGTGTAATTATAGGTCTGGTTTGTTCCCTTGTGAACTCAGGGTTTGGGATCAGATTATCTTCAAGATTCCTCCAGCTTAAAAATTGCTATGACTATAAATAATAACTTTAAAGGATTTTCTTTAGTTATTTCTATGAGTGGGTACTCGGTAAATGAGCCCTGGAGGATTTTCTGGAGTCAAACCAAGGTCTTTGCAGGTGCAGAGCATTCTAATCTCTTCTATATTGTGCAGCTCGTGGCCTGAAACCTGGGTACGTCACACTCCATCGTACTAATGATTTTCCTTCCCAGCTGCCTGCCGGGGACATGAGCCTTGCAAGGACAGGAACTGGCCTGATCACTGCAGTGTCCCAGCACCCCACATAGCCTGGGTGGTCAGCCTAAGGTGGCTGACTTTATCTCTAGCGTTTTTTTTTTTTTTTTTTTCAATTTTTCACTTAAATTCTAGTTAGTTAACATCCAGTGCGATAATGGTTTCAGGAGTAGAATGTAGTGATTCATCACTTACATACAACACGCGGTGCTTATCACAATAAGTGCCCTCCTGAATCCCCATCACCCATCTAGCCCACCCCCCCCCATCAATCCTCAGTTTGTTCTCTATTTTTAAGAGTCTCATATAGTTTATTTCCCAGGGGTTGAGGAGAGGTGTCCAAGGCTTAGCCATGCCTAAGGACTGGAACTTGCAAAGCCCGGAACTGAGTTAGTCTGGACCTCTGGGACTCTAGCCCCATTACTTCCTCTCACAGCCTCTTGACTTTTCCATACATGAAACAGGGAAGCTGCTAAGTGACCCTCTGTCCTTGAGGCAGGAGCCAAACAGGCAATCTGGAAAGGCTGCTGCCTCTTTGGCAGGGAACTGGATGGGGCCACAAGACATTGGTATGAACAGCTGTACCTCCTCTGAGAGCCATTCCAGGTTAACCAAAGCATTCTGCCCGTAGGAGGAAGGCAGGGAGTGAGGAGAGAATGAGACCCAGAGAGCTGGGCTCAAGTGAGATTTATAAATAGGAACGTGGAAACTCACGGAAGAAGCCAAGCGAGGCGGAGGAGACTGGGCAAGCCTCAGGGAGACCACTCTAAGACATAAATAACTAACGAGAGAGAAGCCAGAGTTCTTGGAGACTTTTTGAAGGCCATTATGCAACTGTTTGCCCAGACTAGGATCGCAAGCACCAAGAGGGATGGAAGAAAGCTATGGTGCTTACGCTGTTCCTTCCTTTATTTAGGCGACACTTACTCCTTGCCCGTGTACATGTGACAGTGCTAGATACAGGGGAAAGGATCATTATTAAGGCATTGTCTCTGTTTCTAGATTGCAGAGACAAAGACACATAAATCGCTCGGAGAGGCAGTTGTAATTATCCCTATGCCACGCATGCCCCACTTTGTATTATATTGCGTTTCTCATGGTGAACATCATTGTTTTTTCTGCCCAGAACCCCTCCGCTCCTCCTTCGAGATGCAGCCCCTTCTTTTGGGAGTACTGTCCCCAGCCTATCCTAA